GAACTCCTGAGCTCAAACAATCCGCCCGCCTCGGCCTCCCAGAGTGCTAGAATTACAGGCATGAGCCACTGCGTCCGGCCTCATACTACCATTTTAAGGTGAGGAAACTAAGACAATGAGAATTTAAGTAACTTGTTCGAGGTCACATGGCCTAAGTGACAGCATCATTAGTTGAAGCCAGGCAGTGTGGCTTCAGAATCTATCCTCTTAACCACTTATGATTCACTCCTCACTAGAGAGCATTATAAATTATAGTGCGAGATGGTAAGACCCTAATTCTCCTGACACCTCCATCCCTACAGTCCTGATCTCAATCAATGATGAATTATCTTTTAATTTATAGAGAGATATAAGAAGGAGATAAATTACAATTATCTAGGTTAACAGTTATTTTTTTAAAAAAAGGATAAGGCAGAAAAAAGCCTTAAAAAGAATCAAGGACAAGTACAAGTAAAACCCAATCAAGAAGGCAGGCTTAACAGTAAAAAAAATAAAACCAACTCATATTTTTAGAATGTCTGCATCCCAAAGTCTCAGATCTGCTACAGTCCAAGTACTTGGAGATAATGATTATGGACTACATTAATACTGAGAAAAATACATTTGGCATTATGGATATGAGGCTTGAGTTTGTGCCCTATATTCTTTGGGTTAATAGTATTTTATTTTATTTTTATTTATTTATTTATTTTGAGACAGAGTCTTACTCTGTCACTCGAGCTAGAGTGCAATGGTATCATCATAGCTCACTGCGACCTCAAACTCCTAGGTTCAAGCGATCTTCCTGCCTCAGCCTCCTGAGTAGCTGGGACTACAGGCATACGCCACTGTGCCTGGATAATTTTTTCTATCTTTAGTAAAGACAGGGTCTGGCTCTTGTTCAGGCTGGTCCCAAATTCCTGACTTCAAGTGATCCTCCCATCTCAGCCTCCCAAAGTGCTAGGATTATAGGTGTGAGCCATTGAACCCAGCCAGGTTAATAGTATTTTAAGAAATGATTTTGTTTCTTCATCTTTAAATAAGCTTTCAATTATTTAGTTCATCTTGTTAAAGATGCCAATAATCAATGCTTTAAAATTATAGGTGTATTCCTCTAAGATGACATTATTAACAAACATTCTAAGTTTACATATATAAAGAGATTTTAAAATACCATGTTGATGGATTGTGTGAACTGCTTCCAACATGTTTTTCCAGTAACTCTTGCGTTCCCATGGATCAATGGATTTTTTCTTTTTAAGCCAACTATTAAGATCAATATTTCCACACTCCATTACCATATAGATGAACTGGTCTGTGATTTCACTGCAATTAAAAATAAGAGCAATAAAACAGTAAATGCCTAGGTTATATTAATTAAGATTTACTAAATATTTACCTGAAGAATTATGGCAGAAAAGGTTTTCTTTTTAAATTTAAAAAGAATTCTTACTAATCATAAAGTCGGATGATCTTATCACTGTGTTGTTGTAGTTTATTCAAATAAGCTATTTCGTTCCGGTAACTATCAATAGTTTGGTTATCTGCTTCTTCTAAGTTCACATATTTTATGGCATAAATCTGTTTCTTTTCATTCAGCACCTGAAATACCTATATATTAAAAAAAAGAGAAAAGTTTAGGATGCTCTCTTTATACACTATCACAATGCTTCAAAATTTATTAGACAATTTTTCTTTTTAATGAGGAAGGGGCAGGAATCTTCCATGCCCTCTCTGGACAGGCCAGCCTCCAGGAACCTTTACATGTTTAGCTATCCAGAAGCTCCTATATCTATTAGACAATTTTAGGTTGAGAAAATTCTGAAGGAAATACTGATGTGAACAACTAAAAATTTCTGGGCCTATTCTGAGTATAAAAGGAAAAAAAAATAATCCTGATGATAGTAGTAGTAATCCATTCCCAACCACCTATACAATGGGCACTCAATAACTCAAAGGTATAAACCTAAAATGTTTCTATTATGATATCAACATATAAAAAAAGTAATTTAAATTCATACATGTTCATAACAGTTTGTTAGATGCCTTAACCAGGGAAATAGAGAAAAAGACAATAAAAAATGTTAAGGACAAGCCAGGTGTTCACCTGTAGTCCCAGCTACTCAGGAGTTCAAGTCCAGTCTAAGCAAAATAGT